AAGTTCGAATTGTAGTGTTGGAATGGACTGCAAAAGTTGTGGTCCTCAAGAAGTGAGCAAGACTCTTCAATGGCTGAGTACTCCAAACAGATTGCCGAAAGTGAGCGGTACATGTTCAGAGTCTTCTGTTACAGAGCTGAAGCTGTAAGTATTTCTCCCCTCTTCTACATTTATTTAGTTAGAAACTGTTTTAACAAATGAAGTTAAGTCAACTTAACATTGTGTATTCTAGTTTCTTGTCCTTTACATCTATCAGTGGTAAGGGGGCTTGCTGACACTCCTCCACTATGCTCTTCTTCCTGTTCTTTTCTTGGGGAGGGATGGCACCTGATTCCAGACTTTGAATGCTCAATCTCAATTTCAACAGAACTTCTCACTGAATCGTCAAGATGAAGCAAAATTATATGTAACCAAAGCGAAAGAATTATTGACAAGACTTCCTGCAAAAGAGGTAAAGTTTCTTATCTAGACTCTTCAAATACAATTTCTTTTAAAGAAATGGTCTTCTAATGAATTGCTCAAGCCACTCTGGAATCATTAGAATTTTTTCTACTTTTTGCAAAGAGTATTACCCTGGCAGAACTATGCTACAACTTTGGTGTTGATACATACTACAGGGAGGAATATGACAGTTGTATTGCCTGGCTCAGGTAGGTAGCTTTTCAGAAAAGAAAGTTTCTTTTTTCTTTTTTTGTTTTGTTTCTGAGGTGATATTGCCTGCCTATAAATGTATCTTATTGTCCAGCTTTATCAAGGTTTAGACTTTTTATTTATGATGCTTGGACCGCTTTCAATAGGTTTTCTAACTATTAAAATAACAATTTTTCTCTAGGAAAAGCTATGATCTTAGAAAAGGGAACAATCCTTTTGGGGCTAAGAAAGAGGTTGGTAAAGTAGTCTTTTTCCTATTTAATACAGTTTAGCGTATTTAACCATTTTGGTATAAAGCTTTAAAGATGATTTTGTAAATAGTTGGTAGTGATAATTTATTTCATAAACCACAATTACATCTTTTAAGAAAGTTCTTCATGGTATAATTGAATTAAATACTAGGTAATGACAAGGGAATCACAAATCATTTTCTCTTGATTTTAATAAGTTACTCTCTCGCTCGCAGCAGGCAACTACTCTGCGCCTTATGGCTAACGCATACCTTGACTGGGACTCTAAACAACACTGGCAGCTGGCTCTTAATGCAGTTGGTGAGTAAGTATACTTTAATTAATGTGCATTACTGTTTACTAGAAAACTATTAAAAATAAAATAATAATTTCCTCTCTGTTTTTAATTTATTTGCAGATCTTGCAAACTCTGTAAGTATCATACACTTTTCAATGTGCTCAATCATGAGTTGTTATTTTTCTCTGGCGGATTGAAGTATGTTAGTTTTATTTTGATAGGAGTATGCACATCCAGCTGGTCTCTATCTAAAGGCCAAGCTGCTTATCATGGGTGACGGAGATGAAACTTGTCCATCTTCGAGATTGGATTCAGGTATGTTGACCAAAGAACTGTTTTTCTCAGTATTTTCTCTGACTTTTCAACAGATTTATTTATTAGTTTCATTAAACAGATGACCATATTCACAAGCTTTTCATGCCAATCCTGGCCAAACAAGTCGCCCATCATTCAACCTGAATTAGTCTGAAAATTCCACTCAGAATGTAGCTCGACAGAGATCCAAGCATCTCTTATCCTGTCTTTCTCAGTTTCTAAATTTTGACAGATACATAACAACCAATTGATCAAAGGCAGCATACATGTCTGTAGTGCTATGTTATTAGTATGGCATTTTTAGGGTCAAATCACAGACATCCTTGAGTGAGGGAAGAACTGAGGGTGCAAAAGAAGATATATTTTTATTTAGCGTCAATTTTTGCATCCTTTCATTTAGTCTTTGAGGAAACTCTTCAGCATCCTGACTTGAAGGTGGACCTTGGGTTGTGTGCAGTAAATCTTGCTGTCCAACACAAAAGGTGAATCAACTGGCATCAAAAAACATTCTTGTGAACGTGATATCGCACTATCACAACCACCTCTACCGTTTTTATCTCAGCCACACACAGACCTCCAAGAATCTGATGCGGCTCATGAGTAAACACTTATTTGTTACTAGTTTCAGTCGAGGTCTTCATTTTTCTTAAGAAGTTGATTTAGAAAACAATCCTGTGACATCAGGGTTATAACTTATTATTATGTTTTAACCGGCAGGATAGAGTTGGCTTTTGACTGCTTGAAAATACTGGCATCTCGGTTCAAAAATTCTCCTGACCTTTACAAAATTCAGCTGGAGCACTTAGTAAGTTTCTAAATAAACATGGAGGGTTTTCACTTGTCTTTGAGTGTCAAAAGTAATCAGGCAATTACCTTGGCTACTACAGTTAGAGATTGGCAGAGTAGTCCAATATATTATTGGTAAGTAATTGGTTTGGTTTTGGTTTCGCGACACTGAATTGAAAACCCCTCTAATGTCTAAAATATGAAATGTAACATAACATTTGTGACAAATTGTGACCAGTTGTAACTCACATTGCATTATCGATGGCAACAGTTTTGTTTTAGCCTCTTTTTTTCCCCTCAAACCAACTATGTTCCCCAGGAACGCTTAAGTAATGGCTTGCAGTGTGAAACACTTTTCTTTCCTTATAACTAACAAGTGAATTTTACATTTACCTTGATGATTGAAGTAGGACTTTGGAAACAAAGAAACAAACACGCAATCCTAATGTTCTAACAGTGGGTTTAAAACAGTACTATAACTGATTCCTAAATATTTGTGAATTTCATAGAGGTTTATGTACTCAGACAATGAATTTTAACGTAACAGAACCCTCTTAAATTAGGCGGGGCTTCATTAAGAGCTGGGTATTGAGCAAAATCGGCAATGTTTTCCACCTGGTTTTTCCATCCGGAAGATAGTTTTTCTTGTAAAGAAGTTCAGTTCAAAACGTTTTGCCTGTCTGTGTTAGTGTGGAAACCAGTTGCCCTACTGCTCAAAATGTTAATGAACAATTCCTACTGGTACTCTAAACAGTAATTTTGATATCCTCATCTTGGAAGGAACTTCTCCTAAAAAACAAGCAGGATGAAGCTGCAAAAGAACTTATTGAAAAGTGCATCGTTGGTAAGTTACTCATATACTTTACATGTTAGCCTAAATTTCTTGGAAAGTGAAACCACCGGAGAGTATCTGTGCTACTTGTCTGCAATTTCAGTGTGGACTTTTTAACTGCTGCTGGCATGCAAACCGCAGGAAATGTCGTATCTAGTGTTCTATGGGAAATCCACGAATCATTTTCTATTTGCTGGTAGGGAACGATTGTGCACTCGCTGCTCTTGAAACCGAAATTATTATTGATTTTATGCTTTAAAAAAAATTACAACTGTAGGTTTTGTGCAGTAATCATTTAGAGTGTCTACTAAAACAATTAGACCACACACCCTCAATTTCTATGAACGATAGTCAACTCAGCTATGCCTCTTTTGACTATTTGCTCATAGAAAACTCGGGCTTGTAGTCTTAAAATATAGTTGTTAAATACAACTGTAAACCAAATGAAAAATATCATATTTTTCATTTATCTCAGAAGTACTGATCACTTCTTTCATTTCACGCACAAGCTGAAAGGAGTATGTTATAAAGTGTGTAGTATTTATCATTTCGAAATTATCTTTGGAAATTGATTTGAATAATTTTTCAGAACAAATAGGAAAATCTCTTGATTCTGAGATGTGTCAAAGATTTCACATTACTTTATGGGAAAAGGCTGCTGCTGCTTACGAGGTTGGTGCTGACAATTTTTCTAAAATCAAAACGTAAACCATTACAAACACAGTAAGAATCCTGGAAGGAGATGTAATAGCAGTTAGCCGAGCAGCTAAAGTCCTCATTTGAATCGTTATTGTTAGCCACTCGCACTATTGTCCGGGAGGAAATCTATTTAGGCCTGTGAATAAGGTAATTGCTGATCATGATACACAACTTTTCCTCAGGGGAAAGACTACAAAGAAGCCTTAAACTGGTACAATTACTCACTGAGTATGTTTTCTTCAAAAGAGACAAACGAAAAGAATATTGGAAAACTGCAGGTGAGTTGTAGAATTGTTTCTAATTCTTAACGTAACTTTTTCTAATTAACAATTAGATTATGAGCCTATCACCTCATAGAAATCTAGCACGAATAATGTAATGGTTTAAGTGGAATTCTAGCTGAAATTTCCTTCAAATGACGATTCCAGTTATTTCTGGTCGCGTACATCAGATGTGTACTCGCGCTTATCAGTTTCTTTCAAAACTTCCGAGCTTTTTTAATTCAAGAAACCTTAAATACATTCCTTTTAGTCTTCTCAGGAATTTGACTATCCATTTGTTTCTAAATGTTCTTTCAAAACTTCGGAGAAACGAGGAAATGTTGAGATTTTGTCGACCACATCAAGTCATTGCGCACTAATGGCTGATAGTGTGCAATGGCTCAGCCAATCAGATTACGACATTTGAATTAGTATACTAGTAGAATTATACTAATACTGTTACTAGATTCACTAATGAGAGCCGCTCATTGAGTATAGCACTTTTACATCTACTGAGATAGCTGTTTCTAGTGATGAACTTACTTACTTACTTACCACTACAATGCACCTGACCTACCGCAAGTTGTAATCAGTGTGAAGTTCGTTCGTTCAAACTAGTAAAATCAAGACGTAAAATCAAAAATACTTATTGCATCTTTTTATTGCAGAGGAACAAATGTTCCTGTTACATGAATCTTCAGGATTACGAGAAGGTTTGTTTAGACATTAACTGAAGTCCTATACCATGTTGTAGACTACGAAGCAGCCCCTTTTTATCAGTCAAGCGTGGCGAAAAAGAAAGTGCGATTGGCCATCGAAATAACGTGGCGCGCCGGCAAAGCATTTACCGTGCTCGTGAGGCCATTTTTTCCCTCGCACAATTCTTTCGCGTCACACCTAAGGGGCTGCGAGAAGCCGTCTAGCAATTTGTCCCGTCTACGTACTTTTGTAAAGCGCACAAAACAGCAATGGATGAGATCGTCTTCGGCATTACCTACAATTCGTTTAGTTTCACTTTTTTTAATTTCTCTGGTGTTTAGGCGAAAGAAGCTATAGCAGAAGCCGAGCAAAGTGATCCAGAAAGCCCAGTTATTTACTTTTACAAGTTTAAAATTGCCCTCATGGAAGGAGAAGATGACATTGGTTAGTAGACGACTTTTGCAATCGCTTTTCCAGCCGTGAAACCCCAAACCATACTCAATCGGTTGTATGTATTTTACCGTGTGCTATTGCTTCAGCTGTAGATGCAATGACAAAGATGAGTGAAGTTGGCTCAAGGCAAGATAAAAACATCACAGAAACGGATGCTCACGGGTTGATGTGTCTTGCTGCGCAGTTGGCTCTAGAGGTATGGTTATAACGGACACTTCCTGAAAGACCACAAGGAAAGTGAGACATTTAATGTAGTGTGGCCGAGCTAGCGTGACCAAGTGGTTAGGGTACCGGTTTTGAAATCTGGAGGTCGTGGTTTCAAGACCCACTCTNAAGTTCGAATTGTAGTGTTGGAATGGACTGCAAAAGTTGTGGTCCTCAAGAAGTGAGCAAGACTCTTCAATGGCTGAGTACTCCAAACAGATTGCCGAAAGTGAGCGGTACATGTTCAGAGTCTTCTGTTACAGAGCTGAAGCTGTAAGTATTTCTCCCCTCTTCTACATTTATTTAGTTAGAAACTGTTTTAACAAATGAAGTTAAGTCAACTTAACATTGTGTATTCTAGTTTCTTGTCCTTTACATCTATCAGTGGTAAGGGGGCTTGCTGACACTCCTCCACTATGCTCTTCTTCCTGTTCTTTTCTTGGGGAGGGATGGCACCTGATTCCAGACTTTGAATGCTCAATCTCAATTTCAACAGAACTTCTCACTGAATCGTCAAGATGAAGCAAAATTATATGTAACCAAAGCGAAAGAATTATTGACAAGACTTCCTGCAAAAGAGGTAAAGTTTCTTATCTAGACTCTTCAAATACAATTTCTTTTAAAGAAATGGTCTTCTAATGAATTGCTCAAGCCACTCTGGAATCATTAGAATTTTTTCTACTTTTTGCAAAGAGTATTACCCTGGCAGAACTATGCTACAACTTTGGTGTTGATACATACTACAGGGAGGAATATGACAGTTGTATTGCCTGGCTCAGGTAGGTAGCTTTTCAGAAAAGAAAGTTTCTTTTTTCTTTTTTTGTTTTGTTTCTGAGGTGATATTGCCTGCCTATAAATGTATCTTATTGTCCAGCTTTATCAAGGTTTAGACTTTTTATTTATGATGCTTGGACCGCTTTCAATAGGTTTTCTAACTATTAAAATAACAATTTTTCTCTAGGAAAAGCTATGATCTTAGAAAAGGGAACAATCCTTTTGGGGCTAAGAAAGAGGTTGGTAAAGTAGTCTTTTTCCTATTTAATACAGTTTAGCGTATTTAACCATTTTGGTATAAAGCTTTAAAGATGATTTTGTAAATAGTTGGTAGTGATAATTTATTTCATAAACCACAATTACATCTTTTAAGAAAGTTCTTCATGGTATAATTGAATTAAATACTAGGTAATGACAAGGGAATCACAAATCATTTTCTCTTGATTTTAATAAGTTACTCTCTCGCTCGCAGCAGGCAACTACTCTGCGCCTTATGGCTAATGCATACCTTGACTGGGACTCTAAACAACACTGGCAGCTGGCTCTTAATGCAGTTGGTGAGTAAGTATACTTTAATTAATGTGCATTACTGTTTACTAGAAAACTATTAAAAATAAAATAATAATTTCCTCTCTGTTTTTAATTTATTTGCAGATCTTGCAAACTCTGTAAGTATCATACACTTTTCAATGTGCTCAATCATGAGTTGTTATTTTTCTCTGGCGGATTGAAGTATGTTAGTTTTATTTTGATAGGAGTATGCACATCCAGCTGGTCTCTATCTAAAGGCCAAGCTGCTTATCATGGGTGACGGAGATGAAACTTGTCCATCTTCGAGATTGGATTCAGGTATGTTGACCAAAGAACTGTTTTTCTCAGTATTTTCTCTGACTTTTCAACAGATTTATTTATTAGTTTCATTAAACAGATGACCATATTCACAAGCTTTTCATGCCAATCCTGGCCAAACAAGTCGCCCATCATTCAACCTGAATTAGTCTGAAAATTCCACTCAGAATGTAGCTCGACAGAGATCCAAGCATCTCTTATCCTGTCTTTCTCAGTTTCTAAATTTTGACAGATACATAACAACCAATTGATCAAAGGCAGCATACATGTCTGTAGTGCTATGTTATTAGTATGGCATTTTTAGGGTCAAATCACAGACATCCTTGAGTGAGGGAAGAACTGAGGGTGCAAAAGAAGATATATTTTTATTTAGCGTCAATTTTTGCATCCTTTCATTTAGTCTTTGAGGAAACTCTTCAGCATCCTGACTTGAAGGTGGACCTTGGGTTGTGTGCAGTAAATCTTGCTGTCCAACACAAAAGGTGAATCAACTGGCATCAAAAAACATTCTTGTGAACGTGATATCGCACTATCACAACCACCTCTACCGTTTTTATCTCAGCCACACACAGACCTCCAAGAATCTGATGCGGCTCATGAGTAAACACTTATTTGTTACTAGTTTCAGTCGAGGTCTTCATTTTTCTTAAGAAGTTGATTTAGAAAACAATCCTGTGACATCAGGGTTATAACTTATTATTATGTTTTAACCGGCAGGATAGAGTTGGCTTTTGACTGCTTGAAAATACTGGCATCTCGGTTCAAAAATTCTCCTGACCTTTACAAAATTCAGCTGGAGCACTTAGTAAGTTTCTAAATAAACATGGAGGGTTTTCACTTGTCTTTGAGTGTCAAAAGTAATCAGGCAATTACCTTGGCTACTACAGTTAGAGATTGGCAGAGTAGTCCAATATATTATTGGTAAGTAATTGGTTTGGTTTTGGTTTCGCGACACTGAATTGAAAACCCCTCTAATGTCTAAAATATGAAATGTAACATAACATTTGTGACAAATTGTGACCAGTTGTAACTCACATTGCATTATCGATGGCAACAGTTTTGTTTTAGCCTCTTTTTTTCCCCTCAAACCAACTATGTTCCCCAGGAACGCTTAAGTAATGGCTTGCAGTGTGAAACACTTTTCTTTCCTTATAACTAACAAGTGAATTTTACATTTACCTTGATGATTGAAGTAGGACTTTGGAAACAAAGAAACAAACACGCAATCCTAATGTTCTAACAGTGGGTTTAAAACAGTACTATAACTGATTCCTAAATATTTGTGAATTTCATAGAGGTTTATGTACTCAGACAATGAATTTTAACGTAACAGAACCCTCTTAAATTAGGCGGGGCTTCATTAAGAGCTGGGTATTGAGCAAAATCGGCAATGTTTCCCACCTGGTTTTTCCATCCAGAAGATAGTTTTTCTTGTAAAGAAGTTCAGTTCAAAACGTTTTGCCTGTCTGTGTTAGTGTGGAAACCAGTTGCCCTACTGCTCAAAATGTTAATGAACAATTCCTACTGGTACTCTAAACAGTAATTTTGATATCCTCATCTTGGAAGGAACTTCTCCTAAAAAACAAGCAGGATGAAGCTGCAAAAGAACTTATTGAAAAGTGCATCGTTGGTAAGTTACTCATATACTTTACATGTTAGCCTAAATTTCTTGGAAAGTGAAACCACCGGAGAGTATCTGTGCTACTTGTCTGCAATTTCAGTGTGGACTTTTTAACTGCTGCTGGCATGCAAACCGCAGGAAATGTCGTATCTAGTGTTCTATGGGAAATCCACGAATCATTTTCTATTTGCTGGTAGGGAACGATTGTGCACTCGCTGCTCTTGAAACCGAAATTATTATTGATTTTATGCTTTAAAAAAAATTACAACTGTAGGTTTTGTGCAGTAATCATTTAGAGTGTCTACTAAAACAATTAGACCACACACCCTCAATTTCTATGAACGATAGTCAACTCAGCTATGCCTCTTTTGACTATTTGCTCATAGAAAACTCGGGCTTGTAGTCTTAAAATATAGTTGTTAAATACAACTGTAAACCAAATGAAAAATATCATATTTTTCATTTATCTCAGAAGTACTGATCACTTCTTTCATTTCACGCACAAGCTGAAAGGAGTATGTTATAAAGTGTGTAGTATTTATCATTTCGAAATTATCTTTGGAAATTGATTTGAATAATTTTTCAGAACAAATAGGAAAATCTCTTGATTCTGAGATGTGTCAAAGATTCCACATTACTTTATGGGAAAAGGCTGCTGCTGCTTACGAGGTTGGTGCTGACAATTTTTCTAAAATCAAAACGTAAACCATTACAAACACAGTAAGAATCCTGGAAGGAGATGTAATAGCAGTTAGCCGAGCAGCTAAAGTCCTCATTTGAATCGTTATTGTTAGCCACTCGCACTATTGTCCGGGAGGAAATCTATTTAGGCCTGTGAATAAGGTAATTGCTGATCATGATACACAACTTTTCCTCAGGGGAAAGACTACAAAGAAGCCTTAAACTGGTACAATTACTCACTGAGTATGTTTTCTTCAAAAGAGACAAACGAAAAGAATATTGGAAAACTGCAGGTGAGTTGTAGAATTGTTTCTAATTCTTAACGTAACTTTTTCTAATTAACAATTAGATTATGAGCCTATCACCTCATAGAAATCTAGCACGAATAATGTAATGGTTTAAGTGGAATTCTAGCTGAAATTTCCTTCAAATGACGATTCCAGTTATTTCTGGTCGCGTACATCAGATGTGTACTCGCGCTTATCAGTTTCTTTCAAAACTTCCGAGCTTTTTTAATTCAAGAAACCTTAAATACATTCCTTTTAGTCTTCTCAGGAATTTGACTATCCATTTGTTTCTAAATGTTCTTTCAAAACTTCGGAGAAACGAGGAAATGTTGAGATTTTGTCGACCACATCAAGTCATTGCGCACTAATGGCTGATAGTGTGCAATGGCTCAGCCAATCAGATTACGACATTTGAATTAGTATACTAGTAGAATTATACTAATACTGTTACTAGATTCACTAATGAGAGCCGCTCATTGAGTATAGCACTTTTACATCTACTGAGATAGCTGTTTCTAGTGATGAACTTACTTACTTACTTACCACTACAATGCACCTGACCTACCGCAAGTTGTAATCAGTGTGAAGTTCGTTCGTTCAAACTAGTAAAATCAAGACGTAAAATCAAAAATACTTATTGCATCTTTTTATTGCAGAGGAACAAATGTTCCTGTTACATGAATCTTCAGGATTACGAGAAGGTTTGTTTAGACATTAACTGAAGTCCTATACCATGTTGTAGACTACGAAGCAGCCCCTTTTTATCAGTCAAGCGTGGCGAAAAAGAAAGTGCGATTGGCCATCGAAATAACGTGGCGCGCCGGCAAAGCATTTACCGTGCTCGTGAGGCCATTTTTTCCCTCGCACAATTCTTTCGCGTCACACCTAAGGGGCTGCGAGAAGCCGTCTAGCAATTTGTCCCGTCTACGTACTTTTGTAAAGCGCACAAAACAGCAATGGATGAGATCGTCTTCGGCATTACCTACAATTCGTTTAGTTTCACTTTTTTTAATTTCTCTGGTGTTTAGGCGAAAGAAGCTATAGCAGAAGCCGAGCAAAGTGATCCAGAAAGCCCAGTTATTTACTTTTACAAGTTTAAAATTGCCCTCATGGAAGGAGAAGATGACATTGGTTAGTAGACGACTTTTGCAATCGCTTTTCCAGCCGTGAAACCCCAAACCATACTCAATCGGTTGTATGTATTTTACCGTGTGCTATTGCCTCAGCTGTAGATGCAATGACAAAGATGAGTGAAGTTGGCTCAAGGCAAGATAAAAACATCACAGAAACGGATGCTCACGGGTTGATGTGTCTTGCTGCGCAGTTGGCTCTAGAGGTATGGTTATAACGGACACTTCCTGAAAGACCACAAGGAAAGTGAGACATTTAATGTAGTGTGGCCGAGCTAGCGTGACCAAGTGGTTAGGGTACCGGTTTTGAAATCTGGAGGTCGTGGTTTCAAGACCCACTCTGACCACTGAGTTGGAGTTGTTTCTGGGCGTAGTTAGTAGACCCTCAACTCCTCAGTCATAAAAACACTCATGCTTGTAAATAGCAAACTGGTGTGCCTCCCACCAGATGGGATTTTTAAGCCTATTGTAGTTATCTGAAATATTTGTTTCTTTCAGTTGAAGTGGCATTCCTGAGAACTAGCTAGGTGTTAGTAGCTAAGCGCATTGACTATTATAAACAGTCAACATTTAACGTTTTTTATCACTGAATTGCATTTTTAGTATTAACAGTGGATTGCTTGGGCAGAGGCACGGTGACTGAAGCTCCCCTAACAACATTTGAAATACTCAACAGCGGTTACGCTTTTTTAACTGAAGAAGATAAGAGTATGAATTTTCTAGAAGAGTAAACAAACGTGATCAATCCCCTGACCTAAGTTCCAGAAGATCAAGATGGTGGCTTCAACTTGCTGCAGTATACATATATTGGTTACGTCTAGGATCCGCTTCAGCGGATTAATCAACCTGCGCATCAAATTTAAAAGAAACCGAGTTTGTTCCCTGTAGTCTGTAGCCTGTAGCCTGTAGCCTGTATCAGTCTAGAGTGGGTAGTAACAGTATTTCTGCTCAATGACTTCTGTTCTTTTCCATAGCAAAAGAACCATAAGGTAGCCGTCAGTGCGCTGGAAAAAGTTGTAGCTACAAGCAGTGACAATCAACAAGTTCTTACGTCACTGAGGTACACTGAAGTAAAGAACTTACTCAATTTTACCTTCTTGTAAGCTAATTCTGAACAATCTTATGTTATTGCTATGGGCTATACCTTCTGATTAAGTCAGGAAGGATTGTAAAGAGCCGTTTTCTTTATGTTGAAATCAAGCCAAGTCAGTTGTTGCTACGTTTGCCAAACTAGTCCGTTTGTATGCGTGTTTCTCGATCTCTGATCTGATAATTTCATGAATCTTCTTGAAATTAGGTGCCTGACAAGGTTGAAGCTTACAACGCAGTCCACAGATTCAGGGAAAAGGTAAGTTCCGACAACAGCGCGTGTTCTTGCAATGGCCATGGTTACATGTTTCTGTTTTAAGTCTTTCAAGTCCTGCTGGTTGTTTCATCACACCTTTTGAAGCACAGTTATTTGCACTATAATTGGTCTGGTTTATCTTTTACAGAAATACATGTCACATGGTTGAATTATATGTTTATACGCTAAGAAATGACCATAAATTGTGCGTTTCTCTCTTACGCAGGAAAGAAGGCAGCAGTTTTCTTCGTTACCTAGAGATCGGTAACTGTTTCATTCTTTGTAGCTTTGTAGCAACTTTCGTCAGCAGCAATGATTTTAGTTACGATAGAGCGGTTTTCAAGTGAGTGTAGAAAGTAATCAGGCAATTACTTTGGTTTTGGTTTTACCACGTTTGATTTTGGCTGATTGGTTCGGTTTTAGTTCTGCGACACTCAGTTGAAAACCGCTCGATATTAGTAATAAAAGTCCTCTCCTATTGCCTTGGTAGTACTTCGCAACACATTGAAATCATGACGTCAATATCGTTACTAATTTAATTGTGCTGAGATGTGTTAATGTTTTTTGTACTTATTTGGTCAGCTCTGGGTCGTTTGAATAAAATGCAACAAGTGGGCAGTTCTAATGTGCAAACAGAGGCCACCTGGTTTATGAAAATCGGTGAGCTTGTGATACTGGTAAAATATCTTTCCTTCACTGAGTTGAGCTAAGTTGTTTAAAAAATAGAAAAATGTACCGTGTTTCTATCGAGTTATAGACACAAAAGTGGAGGTTTGTCGGAGGGAACGAGAAATGCTGTGGGAACACGAGCCGACAGTTGAGCTCAGCTGTATTAATATAAGTCATGCAATGTAATTTAATTTAGAGCTATTGCCGAAAACATGAATATGATAAGGCCAACGTCGAGCCATTTAGCGGGCCTTATCGCGGTATCCATGGCATGAAGCAACAAGAACTATATCCCCCCCTCTCCAGCATTAAATTCTCCAGTACCCTTTTATACACATGGGTGGAGAGAGGCACAATGCGAGTAAAGTGTCTTGCCTAAGAACACAACAAACTATCCCCGTCTAGGGCTCGAACCTGCACCGCTCGATCCGGAGTCAAACACACTAACCACAACGCCTCTACGCCTCCACCGAAGAAATGGTAGGAGCAAAAGCAAGCTCTTCAACTTTTACCTTTGATTGTTAGGTAGTTCAGTAAAATTACAAAAAAGTACAACATCGAGGAGGATTATGTAACATTGCAGCAATTTTCATCATTATATTTGTTCTTCCTTATAAATGTAAACCCGAATTCAGTGGAACTTTTTCCCTTTTCCGAAAGTGAGCTATTACAACATTATCAAGAATTTTCTTATCAAGTTGCTGGTCGAGTTGTTTTTCACTCAATCATTACACCACTTCACCAAACTTATAGCATGACATATATTGTTTTCAGCTTGGAATCTGGCGTTGGAAAGTACTGATAGTACCATGAACATGCAAGATCTTTTTCTGCTTTGTTACAAGGTATATTGCATTGAATTGATTAATTTCAGTAAATGTTTTTTTTTTCCCTAGAGAACGACCTCTTTTAAGACCAAACGTTATGAGAAATGTATACAAGTTGGAAATAAGTTTTGTTCTTACCAAACTTAGAGTTCGTTAATTGTGGTTGTTTCTTTTGTTTAGTTTTCTTGCTTCTGTCCCATGGAATCAACTAACTTGATTCGTCAGAAAAATTGCCTCGTTATGGCAGCTGCATCTGCAGTTCAAGCAGCAAGAGAACAAAGTAACAGAGAAGGGAAGGTTTGTTTCACTTCAAACTAAAAAGCACATAGACAGTCATAATGGGATTGCTTTAAAATAGCATGCAAGCTGGTACTGTAAAAACTGAAACATGATATAATGCGCGTTTATCTCGAGTTTTACATAATTAAAATCCTTCTTTCCGCAGAATAAGCTATTGAGGCAGTGTGTGGAACATGTTGAGGCTTGCCGTGATCTACGTAGAAAGATAGGGATTGGAGGGTCAAGCAGCAGTCAGAAAGGTAGCCATGACACTGTTTTGTTTCTTCTGAAGTTAAATACACGGCACGAATAATGACTTAGTAAGCCAAGTAGCTTATGTAAACGCGCAGACGTCTTAACTCCTCCATCTACTTTGATGATAGGCGGTGGTGTGCACATGTTATCTTACCTGGAACTTTCAGTTTCATTTTGACTAGTAAAATTGTCACTGTTCTTTTTAGAAGAAGTAAAAACACCCGGTGTTAACACTAACAGGCTTTGCTTTTAAGGGATTTTTCGAGACAAAACCAATCTGTAACTTCCTTTTCAGATGAGTCAGTGGTACTGTTGACATTGTATGAGTTCGAGGCAAAGGCACAATTAGGCGATTCAGACCTGTCCTTGTGTCTCGATACTGCGGAGGCCCTGCCACATGCTGATGCTAGCACTTTCGAAACTCTTGCTGGTAAATAAGACGTACGTAGTCATAATTTCAAAACATTTTTACCGTGAGGACTATCAGAGAAAATTTGGAGAATCCACACGAATCG